ACTTTGCAACAAAATCTGTGCATATATAAACATACATAGATATATGCATGAAAAACAGTCACAGAAAAAAGCCACGAGCCGCGTTATCTGCTTGCTTTTATACTCTTATCAGCTCAAACCTCAACATAGTTCAGGGGGTGTTCTTGAACCAGCTGCACTCTTTGTTTACACAAACCTATGGTTCATGGGCAGAGGTAAGATAGTGTTTAGGGAGACGGTTCGGCTTGTTGTGGGCTTCTTGTTCTCAGAGCAGAGGGATGTTCTCAGCCATAATATTAAAAACATCCATAACCTTTGACCAGAAATTCCCTGACATTTGCAAACTTTGCAACCAAACCTGTGCAGAATCTGTCTCTTTCGCTGAGCAGGAGGCCTGGAAGTGGATCAGAGATCAAAACTAGTTAAATCACAGCATAGACCACTGGTTCTCAGGATTTCATAAAGGTTTGTTGATTGTGATGTGACATTTAAAGTGACACCAGACTCATTGTGTTGTCTTTTGATTGTCTTGCTGTCCCCCAGCTGATCAAACAGACAGTCTCTGATGGAGTTCATCCAGCTGGAGAACATTAGTGAATAACAGGTCTGCTTCTGTTTGGTGATGAATCCTGCACTCAGTGTTTGACAGTGATGGATTCCTTCATCCTCCCATTTACTTCCACTTCATACTTCTACACTCTGCACATCTCTGTTCAGCTCTTTATTGATTTATTTTCAGTTTTCAAGCTGAGGGTCATATTTTTACTGTTGAAACTTCAACAACAGAGACTGTTGGTCACTCAACATCCATCCATCCATCCATCCATTCATCCATTATCTTCTTCCATTATCTTCATCCATTATCTTCTTCTATTATCTTCCATTTATTCCAGAGTTGGGTTGCAGGGGCAGCAGCCTAAGCAGGGAGGCCCAGACATCTCTTCACAGCCACCCACCTCTTCCAGTTCTTCTGGGAGGACCCCAAGGCATTCCCAGACCAGCCGAAAGACAGTCTCTTATGCGTATCCTGGGTCTTCCTCAGGGTCCTCTTAGATATGGGAGGCATCCAAGGGGTATCTTTACCAGATGCCAAAACCACCGTAACTGGTTTGCCAGTCGAAGCAGATGGCCGCTCGTCCTGAAGCTGGTTCTGCTGTAGGTTTTTTCCTGTTAAAAGGGAGTTTTTCCTTTCCACTGTGGCCTATGTGCTTGCTCAGGATGGGAAACTGGGACGAAGTGAAGATTCACTGCAATCTGGCTTCCTTAGATAGAAAACTTTGACTAATTGGCTTTTTTAGTGACTGTGGATGTTTTTGTTCAGTGCCCTGAGACGACTTCTGTTGTGACTTGGAGCTATAAAGATAAACTGAGTTTAATTAAAACTGAATTAGTTTCTCTGGATGTGGGGGAGCAGCGGCTCTACTCCACGTCTCTCCTGGAGAACTGAACTTCTCACTGTTTCTACGGGAGACTCCAGCCACCCTGCGTAGAAAACTCTTTTGGACTGCTTGTTCCCACAATCTTGTTCTTTCAATCACTTCCCAAAGTTTGTGAGGTCTGTGTCTATAAGAAGAACTGAACTGAACGTCTTCTCTCCTTATTTATCTATCTATCTTTTTCTTTTCTTCCTTTTCTAAGTTTTTATTTGTTATTATTTCACATTCAGGAGCTTCATTTGTGTTTTATCATGACATGTTAGCTATTTTATGTTCACAATTCTTCATAACATATTCATATGTATCATTTGTTATGTTGATTTTTGGGTATTTCATGGTTATGGATTTATTGTTTCATATGATATCTATACAGGAACTAATTTACTGGGGACTTCCTTGAAAAGCAGCCACCTATTATTATCCACCTGAATAGGGTTACTGTGTGGGGCTGAATTTCATGCATGATCATGTATAACTTAGTTATAAGTTAGGTTTATAAACCAAGATTCTGCCCTCAGTCCTCTCCTTTTTGTCGTCCACCTCTTTCTGCTTGACAACATCTCCAGAAAACGTAACGTCCAATTCCTCTGTTAAACAGATGACACCCAGCTCTATCTGTCCACCACCCCACCTTACTCTCTGACTGCCTGTCTGTGCCTTATCACCGACACCAAATCAATCAATCTTGCAAAATCCAGGGGCTTTTCCATTCCTCAGTATACTCCCCCAAGGTTAAGAATCTGGGTGTCATCCTAGACAACAGCATCATCGTTTCAATCCCAGCTCCGCAGCATCGCTCGCCTCCGTCCATCCCTCTCACCCAACAGTATGTACTGTTCTGGTTCACTCTTTGGTCACATCCCGTCTAGATTAGTCCCTTCATTTTGGTTTATATTCGAACTGGTCCAAAACTCTGCCACTTTCATCATCTCCATCATGCACCCCTTCCAGCAGTCATGTAACCCGTCACGTGTCCTGCAGCATCTTCACTGGTTCCCAGTTCAGTATTGCATTATCTCCTTCAAAGCCCTCAACAGCCTCACCCCTTGGTATCTCACAGAACTCCTCCACAATAACACACCCACCTGTACTCTCAGGTCCTCCTCCACCCGACTCATCCAGCCAGCTCGTCTGATCATGATGGACTCAAGAGCATTCAGTCTCTCAGCATCCCACCTCTGGAACTCTCTCCCCCTGGACGTCAAAAAACCTCCCCCACGTCTCCATTTTCACATCCCAAATAAAAACTCTGCTCTTTCAACAGCCATATTCCCTGTAAACTTCTTGTCACACTTGGTGCATTTAAGTTACGCAGTGTGTGATGTTTATAGTGTTATCTTTGATTTTAACTGCATTTTATATTGTATGGTGTCCTTGAATGACAATGCAATGAGACCAGCTTCAAAACAAAAACAAACCAACAAACAAACACAGCCTGGCCCAAACCCTGTTGTTGTAAACTTTGCCTCTCTCGGTTGTGTGATGGAGCAGCTGCATCAGGAGGTGGTTGCCACGGCAACCGGGATCCGGATGACGGCCGGTTTTTTCCTCATACGATTTTTTTTTTAATGAGTCATATTCTGAAAAGAACCGACAAACGATCGAGCGGAAACATTTCCGCTGCACCGTGAGCAACATGCAGGCGGGTAAACCATGAACGCACCATCACCCGCGCGCGACGTCGGAATAATGCGCAGAGATACTGGATAAGAAAGAAAAAAAAAACAGCCGGGTT